CATGGACACAAAGAGATTGCTTGTCACCTCAATATTCATACCAACATTATGCTACCAGTGCCAGAGCTGGACATTAAGTTAAACCCCTGAAATCAAAATCATCGTCTCCGCAAAACCCTTAACATCACAAGACGAGACAGGCACAGAAATCAAGAAGTGAGAGCAGTTATCGTCATTGAGTCCTGCCTGAATTACATAGAAAGACGGGAATAGAATGGCTTGGCCACCTGTTACGTTTGTCACTTGGCCAGCCAGCCTCGAGAGCCTACAAGACTAAGCACTCGGGCTATAAAGGAAGAGGAAGGCCACGCAAGAGGTGGATCGAGGGTGTCAAGGCAACCCTGAGAAAACATAATATCACAACTAAAAAAGCTGCGGAGCTGGCCTACCATACAAAACTGCATCTCCCCTCGACGCTTAACTGCAACAGAGGATGAAAAAGTAAAAAGTAAAAGTAAAGGTGGAACTCTTTTCCCCTCTTTTCTAACACCGGCAGTCCTTCTCCAAATAAAGGAAACGTGTTTGTCTGTTATTTTAACAGCACCGGTGGCTGAGACTGTCGCTTCCGCTACTGGCACTGGTATTAAGGTCAGACGTATTGTTTCCTCCCTATTTTTCTGTGAATGAAAAAAGGGGTCAAGGCAGGAACGAAAACGAAGTTGGTTATTATACGTACAATGCCCTTTAAGCTTTGATATTAATACTTTTCTTTCTCCTTTCTGTCCTTACCATGAGTTTCTAATCTTCTAGCAAAATAGAGCTTAAACTTGCGTTCTCTTTTAGATTAGGGACTTGCTTTGAAAAGGGGTTCTATAATATGGATCAGTCACATATGAACAGTCCGAAGTACTCGCATTAATTCTTTCGTTCATTTATACATCAGCTCATAAATACAATAATTAACTCCCAACTTCATCCAACCATTTCTTTTTCATTCATTTATTCACCCATGCACCCATTGATGTTTCAATAACTTTTAAAATCTCTTATTTTGTTCAACGGTAAAGAATGTTCATTTCCAAAGTCTCTCAAAAGTGCAGCCACATCCCTCACCAACCCCACCACCACCCCCAGACAGCCTTTGGCATGATGTATCTCGTTACAAAATTGCGCATGTCGTTCCTCCAGCCATGCAGCCCGATGATAGCCGGCTTGTTTATTGTGCGAGAAGTTCAAAAGTTCATGCTAAGCACGTAGGCGTCGACTCTTAAATAACCGAACTTTGTTGAAAAGGGTATTAAATATTATAACCGAAAGTTATTTGCCTCTTCATTCATTCATTCATTCATTCATTCATTCATTCATTCATTCATTCATTCATTCTTATGTGTTCATCCATAAATTCATTCATTTGTTCATTCAGACATTTGTTCATTCATTCACTCTTTCAGTAATTTTCTGGCCCAAAGGAGATTCCTCGTATATATATTAATCTAAAATGGAAAGCTCTGTTGGTGATGGAATTTCTGAGATTTTCACGGCTCCTCCTCGTCCTCGTCCTCCTCGTCCTCCTCGTCCTCCTCGTCCTCGTCCTCCTCCTCGTCCCCCTCCTCCTCCTCCTCCTCCTCCTCCTCCTCCTCCTCCTCCTCCTCCTCCTCGTCCATAAGGAATTGACAGTAGTGTCCAGTACACAATAAAATGAAATGCAAACATCCCGTGAAAGTACAAAAATGAAACTTCACCTTTATACTGTGCAGCGGGTGTGTTTAAAAGTAAATCTAATCTTTTGAGTCTCTACACTTTTCCTTTTATGTGAGTTATACAAGTACATGTACTGCGTACTCTAAAATTAGGACGTGTTATAAAATTTTTTGTTTTCTATTCTTTGGAGTTTTGTTGTTGTTGTTTATTCTTAGAAATAAAGTCTAGGCCTACGTTTTTATTTTTTTTTTAAAAAGACCCAAAAACGTTTGATCATTGTCACCGACCAAAGAACGTAGGTTTAACTTGAACACCAGAGATATTGAGCCATCGGCAAGCTCCTAGCGTTTATGCCGTTGCCAGGATATTCAACGTTTAATGTTTTGTTGTTGTTTTTCTTCAAAAGCTCTACTAAGCTTTATTATAGAGTAGGGATAAATGCTGTATAAATGCACTTATATCTCTTTACGTTATAGTTTTCGATTGTTTCATATTTACACAGGATAGCTATCAATTGCATAACATTGCATAACAAGAGCCCTTTAGGTATACCCCCCTCCCAAAGGATAAAAAACTTTAAAGAAATAAAATTAAAAAACTAATACACACCAGCACTACATGACAACCCTCCTCCCAAACACCCCCCTCCAGTCCAGACAACCACCAACCCCCAAAAGAAGGGGAAAAAAGAAAAAAAAAACTCAAAGGAAAAAAGCTAACAAAGACCAACACTACACGACAGCCCTCCTCCAAGACACCCTCCTGGGCTCCCCCCCCCCCTTTTCTCCCACCCCTTAAAAAAGCCTCAAAACAACAAACCCTTCATAAAAACAACAGCAACAACAACAATAACAGCAACAACAACAACAACAACAACAGCAACAACATCTCTTTGGGGAGGATTCAGGGAGGTTGGACTGCCTCACCCGCTGCCCAAGAGAGGCGGTGGCCCTGGCGAAGAGTACGCTCTTCGGGACTCCAAACATTTCGAACTGATAGGCTACATAACAGCAGCAACAACAACAACAACAACAATAACAACATCAACAACAGCAACAACAACAACAACAGCAGCAACAACGAAAGTCGAGCAAAAACCGTATGGAGTAGCTGCCTGACCTACAGTCTGTGAGTGCGATGTGAGCGCCATCTCCCCACCACCAGCGCTCATCCCCACAATGCCCCACGCTCTCCGGCCGCTAGCCAGCCAGCCCATGGTGGCACCAACGTTTCCTTCCCGTGTCGCTCGCCTGTCCTTCTTACCCCCCGAAACCTTTCCTCTCACTGACCGACCCTCACCTCTCTACACGTGCTTCCTTCCTTACTCACCGAGTGAGTTTTCTCACCTGCCTCTGGATTTATGAGGTTGTGATACAGTTGATTTCTTGTGTGTGTTGTTTTGGGTTGTTTAAACATTTTTCTTTCTTCTTTTCATTTCTTTCTTTCTTTGTGTTTTTTGTTTTAACAAGAAAAGGATTTTATGATTGTGTTATTAAGATTTCAAGGTGATCTTATTTTCAATACGTTTATTTTGTCGATTTTGTAGCAATGTCGATTATTTTGCTCTTCCCTCCGTTGTCACCTGTTTATATATATATATAAATGAGCAAGTTATTTTTCTTGTTTATTATGTTATCATTATAGCCAACTTCAGCAACAAAATCGATGTACCTGTTCCTGAACATTCTCTTATTCTATAATACTTTTTAGAATCCGTGTTTCCTTTCTGTTGCTGCTGCTGCTGCTGCTGCTGCTGCTGCTGCTGCTGCTGCTGCTGCTGCTGCTGCTGCTGCTGCTGCTCTCTCTCTCTTTCTCTGTCTCTCTCTCTCTCTCTCTCTCTTTCTCTGTCTCTGTCTCTCTCTCTCTCTCTCTCTCTCTCTCTCTCTCTCTCTTTCTCTCCATCTCTTTCTTGTTCCACCCCTCCCTATTTCTATTTGAAGTGTTCACTATATACCTCGCTATCTTTGAATTAAAAAGTTCTATTTGATATTTTTGGTGTTTTTGAAATGCTAAGACCATGACATCAGAAACCAAATGTTCTATCTGATCTATAAAAATCTTAAGATTATCCGGAATCTTTATCAAGATATTTAAAAAATGGCATTCGAAAAAAATGGACATGTGAAACTCAAACTTTTTACTTCGAATTTCTCAAAACAACGTACTGCGCAGATAGAACTTTGTTATTCTAGAGTAGATGCTTGTTGGCGATGACAAATCCTTTTCTAACCTAATTTTTAAAATATGAATATAATGTTAGACGTACACACTTCTACAGCACCCTTCTCATCTTTCCCCCCTTTCCTGAGGCCTGTTTTTTTCTATAATCATTATTTAAAAGCCATTGTCTACAAAGGAAAGCACATTTCGTTTCTTTTGTGGACTTATTCACTAGCATAAATTACTTCATCAACCCAGTAAGGTTTGCAACATACATAATGTCCGTTGTCATCTTTTCATAAGTAGCATTCGTATAAGATGTCTTCCGAACTATTAATATAGAGGATATTTTTTCGTGGATGGGGGTGTTAGAAATCATCTACCTTTAAAACGATTGTTAAAAAAGTGTAACAGCGTTGGTTTAAAAAAAAAAACCTTTTTGTTTAACACCCTCTTATTGTGCACTCACGCCTTGGGGGATTTTTTATATGCATGTACATTTTATATTTATTTCCTGCGCGACCTTTCCCTTTTTTGCTTTGACCTCATTCCGCATTTTTTAACCCCCCTCAGTCGAGTGTCAGGCAAATTATGAAGGAACTTCCGTCAAAATAATATAGGTCAATGGTTCTGCAGCGATGTATTTTGGAAGATTCAGCATAATGCTCTATTATTGTACGTGCCGTTGGTAACTACTGATGACCTTCAGTTTTGCTCCGTTGTGGCTGCGTTTGACCTTTTGCAAGGCAGTGTTAGATGTCTGAAGAAGAAAACCCAGATTTGCAACCTGATCTTTGGAAGAAAGAGTTTGAGAGGGTTCACGGTTTTCCAAACCGTTTATATTTAGAACATCTCACCCAAGGATTCGAACCTCAGTTAGGATTACCTTAGAGGGTTTGTTTGTTTCGATTTTTTAAAGTAGAATTGGTAAGGGGTTGCCTTTGACGCCCTGGATGCAGCGCGTAAGAGAGCAGAAAAGGACAAATTTACAGTGAAATATTCCAGGAGAAGTGTGAAAAGAACATAATATACAAAGGCGGTGAATGTTAACACTATATTTTGTACTTTACTCAAGGTCAAAGGTACGTTGAACTATGTTGTGGGGGAGGCTTTCTGAGCGATAATTGGGTCTTTAGAAATCTTATGTCTTAACAGTTTTATGATCCCTGTTATTCTTTTGCTGTGAAAGAACGTATTAATTCACTGACTACCTTCGTTTGCTGTGTTATCAAAAAGCAGAGAAATCTAGATCTAATAGTTTCGGTTCCTGATTGTTCTAGGTAGGACAATGCAACCCCTAGAAAGAGAGGCATTCTCATCATGTTTTTTTTCTTTTCTATCTCTGTACAATGTGTGCAATATGCGAGGCAAGACTAGGAAGAAATATCCTGTCGCTGCTGAAATGCTCAAGCTCATAACATGTTGTGACGTCCTTGCCCCGGGGGACAGAGATGTCAAAATGAAAAATAAAATATATTGGCCTGCTCAACGGAGTTATTGTCAAGTCGCGTGAGCCATTTTTAAAAACTAAATAAAACGTAGTAAAGTCTCGCTTCCACTCAGAACTAAAAGGCCATGGTTGCGAAACGACTCACAAAAAAACGAGTGGAAGAATGACGTGTTTCTCATGTGAATCTGAGGTACCCATTTTAAAACACCCTCCATATCGATGGGTTTGTTTCTTTACAAAAATTTCTTTTCACGTACCGAGTGCGTTTTTGTGTTCGCTCGTGTTTCAATAGTGTGTGTTAATCGTTAAAACATACAGTTATAATTTAACAGAAATCTGCAAACAGGTCACTCCAATCAACACTCTGAAATGACCAAAAGACAGTGGAAGTATCTTTTTATCGGATTTCTACTGCTCATGCTTCAAGTTCAAACCTTGTTGAATCGCTCTTTTGTTGGTTTCATAAAATATAAGAACACACTTATTGTTGCAAAGTAGATTGTGGCAAAATTCTGGCAAAAGGCCTTGAAATATAATACTATAACCTAAATAGACAATAATCCGTATGACGACGCTTTAAACTTCTGTTTTGTTTCCAAGGTTAAGAACAATTTGACCTAAGCATAAAAGAGTCACTTGGTCCGGAAGATACGGTGCCCGCTCAGTATTATATTGACTTGTGCATTAAGCAATACACCAATCTCAGACGCTTGGCATTGAGTGAATATTCTTTGATGAGCCTTACAAAAACAAAAAGAAAAAAAAAATTTAATTAATAAATACCGAAAAAGAGACAGTCCTCGAATTTATTCAACGCAAGCTGTTGAATTGGTTATTCACATAACATAAATTGGTTTTATGCATAGGCAAATAATCCATAGAAGCTAATGACAAGCGGCAGACAGACACATTGACTTAGGTAGAAATAATCCCAAAACAACGTTACGAGAGAGAACCACCCCACCCCCGCCCAAAGACACGCACACAATAAATGCTGATTACGCCAGACTTGGCTGTCTGGAGGATGCTTTCGCTTTTGCCCCTCTCGGCGTCCCTGTGAAGTTGATTTCGATATTATAAAAGATCAGTACCTTCCAGAAGGGACATTGGGCACTTTTGACTGTCCAGGCGGGCCTTTCTTAAACAGTAGGCCCTGAACGCGGCCAGCGTGTCAATGTTTGGGGTTTGAATCCGAAAGAGGTCTTTTTTTTGCACCATATCCTGTTCAAATTAATGTTTAATACATTTTACAACTCTCGCAACAACGTAATGCAATTTTTGAAATTTGATTTTCCCTCAGTTTGATTTCTTTACTCGCGAGATGACTTACTGCGTCCAGCACATAGGAAAAGGAGAACCTCTTGTTGTTGTTGTTTTTGTTGTTGTTGTTGTTGTTGTTGTTGTTGTTGTTGTTGTTGTTGTTGTTCTTCTTCTTCTTCTTCTTCT